TACACTATGAACCACATGAAACTTCCTAGGAAATTCCAAGATCTGAAGCTTATGTATGGGTCATATGGGAAGAAATGTTAATGTACATATATGTTCATTAAAATATCTATTTGACAAGTTCGTGAAAGTTAGCAGATCAAATCAATGTTTAAACCTTCATTTAAACACGCTCTCATCATTATATATTTTTATGACAGAAAAGAGTGTTTAGCTTTGTGTCAAAATAGCAAACATAAATACAAGTCATCAATTTACAAGGCGTTTTGAGCATCATTTTCCTATGCCACCAAACCCACATGGATACACACGAAGCTCACTCATCTCAATTTTAAACAAACAAACAAAAAGTTAAGAACTAAAATTATTTTTAAAAAAAATAACCACAACTAATCTAACATGTAGCTAAGCCTTAACTGAGCTGACCTAATAGGAAATTACTATTTCACCTTCTGAATCACAGCTGAGATCAGCTCATAACAATCACCATTTAGGCCTACACCAATACAATGTGTATGTCACAACTAAAAACGAGATTGAACTAGGAGTTACAGCAGGATTGGGCAATTAACAACTTATTCATTATTTGCTTTTTTACATTGCCAGGACAATGTAAGAGTTTAGCAACTTCTCTCTTACTTAAGATCTTCTGTGCCAAAAAGTTATTCAAGTTTGTAATTTTTAGACATTTTTATTTCATAAAGAACTGATTTCATAAAGGAGTCAAAGCTAACCAATACCAGACTGTGCAGATTTGGACACAATCTAAGATTTTATTATTATTTTTTTAGCTGAGAAAACTTAGGGACAGTTCACAAAATTGCTAATTAATTCTTCCCTGCTTCTGATCCCTGTGTGTGTTTATAAATACTTTCATTTTACACATGTGGCATCAGCTAGACCAGCTCCAAGGACATTTATACAGCTGTTGTCATCTGTCAAGTAGGACTATGAAGAAAAGTGATATATTCTGCAACCCACAGAGAAGATTCTAGATCAAGACAGGAGACTCCAGTAGCATTGGCTTCTTTATTAACATAATTGAAACATATTGCTGATGAAACTTTTGTCTGTGACTATTCTAAGCAACAACATTTCACTCAAAATATTTCACTGTGAAATGGTGTTGCAACTCAAATGTAGCTTATATGAATGAATTGGTTTCTATAAAGCAAATCTTGCTCTTCAAATGGCCAAATCAGTGAACAAAATGTGACTCAAAAAATAAAAAAACTTCCCCCTCCCCATGCCAATCCTTGAGCTCTCCTGGATCCAGCTCCATTCTGGGCCCTGGGACTGAGGAGGGAACGTGTGTAACGCAGTCCTAACTAACTGGAACAGGTTAATAGGACAGTCCCAACTCACTCAACTAAGAAACCACGAGTTGAGTTATCTGAGCAGCCATAGTAAGATGCAGGCTGGATGAATTCACCAAAGCATCCTCATCCTCATGACCACGATGCTATTCCTAAGGTTTCCTAATTGGATGAGCTGTAGAATCGGTTCCTGTTTCCATCCTTTCCATCTCCTCTGCTGGCCCTCCTGCCGTAGCAGTGGGAGAGATCCTGAGCTTTTTATATTCCACTGATTGGTTTTTGACAAATAAAATATAACATGCTTCTCAGTCTTCTACAGCGTGTGTAGTTTGGGAGAATAGATTTGGGCTGTTAAGATACAAGTTGTTTTTCCCTGTAATTCCCTGCCTTTTGCTGTAGATTGATTATTGGGTCTCGCTTTCTACTTCAGTAGAGCAGCAAGTTCACTTATTCTTCGTTAGAAGCTGGAGCACGAGACCAGAGAATGTCGGGGAAAGGTAGGCCAAGCGGAGACCGGAAGAACGGTGTCTCTAGAAGCTCTAGCTCTGGGTTTCAGGCACTTCAGTAAGAGACTTCCCTCCCCTGTTCCCATGTACATTAAAGGAAAATGAAAGCAAGAGGCTGCCTGGGGGAAAGGGTGGCAAATGAGGTACCAGCTAGCAGCACAGAGCCCCACCCCACTCCTCCCCTCCGCTCAGCCCCCCAGCCAGAGGGCCATTCCTTGAAGAGACAGTCCTTGACACAAAGGGTTCTTGCTCATATTAGTCACTTTCAGAAAAATGAAACATTTTTTATTGGCAGACAGAAAAATGTGGCTCCAGAACCCTCTTACATGATCAGCCCAGCCCAGGCCTTTCTCACAGACTCGGAGCCACGCCAGCCTTGGGTTGGACTTTGTAGGGAGCAGCAGGACCCCAGAGGGGAAGTCAGAGTTTGGAGGTTAGCCTATCGGTTAGCCCAGTGGTAGGCAAACTGTGGCTCTGTTGCTGACCACTGACCTAGATTCTCGGTTCCAATAATTACAGGCTGTTGTTGTTTCTTATGATTAAGCCCCTATCCCAGTGGTCGGCAAACTCATTAGTCAATAGAGCAGCAAACCGAGGCTAGCGAGCCTCATGTGACTCCCAAGGCGAAGTTTGCCGACCACTGGTTAGCCTATTGGCACCTGTGGCACTAGTTCAAACTGAATCATTGTTCTGGTGTTGACATTAGCTGGGTCACAGCCACAATGTCCTGCCCTGGACTGAGGGAGAGGCTCTGACCTCCCCCTTAGCAAAGGAAGAATAGGGCAGAATGGGGAATGGACAGTTCTACCCAAAAGGAGATTCACTTTTCCTTGTTGTAAAGCTATTGTAACAATATCCCTGTGATGGACCAAGACAAGACCTGCTCCCTTTTATTCCTAGAAATCTACTTCTATTTTTTCTCCTTAGCTCATCTCCTCTCTCTTTCTGAATCTCCTCCCCCCTACACTGAATGCACAGAGAAACCCAGTTCTCTCTCGTTGGTTGTGGACTAAATGGGGCTTAACCCTTTGTACACCATAAGTGTCTATAGGTGCAAGCGGCGAATTTTTTAAATTAAATTCAAAATATCGTGGCGTGTGGAGATGGTTTCCATTTGGACACATGGCAGTTAACCGGTTAACCAGAGTCCAGCTAAGTAACAAAGACTAAAGAGACTAAAGTTATCTTGTCATTCTCGGGTCTGCTCATGTAGATCCTCATAATAAAATCTATCTGTAAATTCCATATCCTTGAGGACTCCATGCCCCACCCACCCCCAGGGAACCCAGTTCCCCATTTTCCTGTTTCTTTGCTTAGACAAAGGCTTTTCTGTCTTTCTCTAATACTAGTGTCATCTTGAGCATTCTGGGTCATTCTCATCTCTTTCTTGGATTCAGAGAGTTACTTTCTAGGATTTCCTCTAAACTGTTGGGATTTCTTGATTTCTGAGGGGAAATCTAGCTACAGTCTTCCTCACCATCACATTTTCCCTCGGAATTGCCATATACAAAGCCATATATAGGCAGCACTTTGATCAGACATAATTTAAGAGAAAGATCCAGATAAAGGCTAAGAAGAGTAGAAACCACATATTAGCTGGTCAGTAGCATGGGAACTGGAGGGGCAGAGGCCATGTGGTGTGATAACCTGAGGGTCCGGGAAACAACATCCTGTTGCTAGGCTCTTCACTTGCTGTGTGATTGGGGACCAGCCATTTAATTCGGGGGCCTTCTGCTCCCTCATCTTATAAAGGAGAATTAGATCAACTAATGTCTAAAGTTCTTTTCATTTATGAATCCATGATTCTTAGCCATGAGCACTAAGACCCAAGAATAGAATCTTCCCTTCCCTCCTCTGGAGATGACAACCACAATCCAAGAGGAATAACACCCCCCCTGGATGCTATTCTGCATGCTCTTCTGCTGAATTCGGTTCCCTATCGGGAGACTACTGAAGGATGCTGCAGATGTGAAGTGTGTGATGGAGACCATTGTTCCTGGTACCAGATCTCGCCCAACCCCTTCTGGGCCATAGCTCGTACTAGATTTTGATAAAATTGTCCTGCTGCTCGGGGACCGTTCCTCAAAGACAATCGAAAACCCAAGAGCCAGGGACTGGATGAGAGAGACATGGCATGAGAAAATAATTTCCTCTTGGTCTCCAAGGTGGACATGCGCGGGGGCCTGAACAAGTAGAACAGAGCATGTCAATACTGTTTCCAGGGGCGGTGGAGGAAGGTGGGGATTAGGGAGAAAATGGATGAAACTATAGTGGCTCTTGTCACGATCTCTATTCTGTGAACCCCCTCCTCTGCCAGGCAGATCTCCTTAGATGATGACAACTATTGCTGGCTTGGCAGGAGATAAGACCAATGTTATCTTGGCAGAAGATAAGACAGGCTTGGCAGGAGATAAGAACAAGGCCAAGACTCTGCTTCTCCAGAACTGCCCTCAGGCTGTGTCATCCCAGCTCAGTGGGTGAAGGATCATCTATTTCCACCAAGATAATCAATTGCTTTCTCCTATGTCATCCTGGACTCACATTATGACAGTGACGTGTCCTAGCCAAACAGGCAATAATTGCAATTAGCAAAGATCCCCAGGGATGAGTGAATTCCTAGCATATTTTTCTTCAGAGATGATTGCATCATTAGGACGTGGCCTTGCTTATGTGCTTCTTCTCGGGTGCAAGAATGTGGCCTCCATTGGCTGAGATGGGGATTGAAAATGCCTGGGATGGCAGGAGACTCACTCTCTGCCACCAGTCACAGCCCACAGGAGTAACTGTATAGATGCCACCAGGAAATGGGGATGGACTGGCTCTTTGTGAAGCTAGGCCCAGAGCCTCAGGAAAATGGTCTGAAACTAAGGAAATGAACTCAGATTCTTCTAAGAACCCCTCCTGTTCCCAGACTTGCTTCCCAGGTTTCAGAACTTGCAAGTTTCACTCCTGACCCCAGACTGTTGCTGCTGCTGCTGCTATAGGGGGTGGGGGTGGGAGTGGAGGGTGGTATAGGTAGGTGGGGGGAGGGAGAGGTGTTAGAGAGTGGAGGTGGCTTGGCCTTCTTCCCTGGGTGTGGCCCTCACACGCTCTCTGTGCTGAGTCTGGCCACAGTTTCCCATCACAAGGAAGCGATTCCACAGGAATGCACCAAGACCACAGACGTGAAGAACCACGGACACTGATTTCATCCAAGTTCTATGAGGCGCGAACAACAGCAATCAAAATTAAAACAAAACAAACAAAACAAAAAACAAACAAAAACAGAAAAGAAAAAAATAGCCCTTTGTGGTAAAGGGCATGCTGGGAAGGCGAGAGCCAGAGCTGCCTCCCCAGAGCATGCTGGGAGGATGGGCACCAGAGCCACTCTCTAGCATGCTGGGAGATGGCCACCAGCACATCTCCAAGGACAGCACTTCCCCCCAACTCCCATCCCTACGCCCTCACCCACCCCCAACCCGGAGACTAGAGGAAAGTTTGTCCAAAGATGACTGCGGAGGAAGGGACGCCGAGGTTCTCTGAAGGTCCCCACACTGTGGGGGCTTGAGCCGGCGAACGGGGAGAACAGTCACGATGAGGAGATGGAGAAACAGAGGCCGGAGAGAAACAGGGGACCGACAGAGACTGAAGGGGCCGGTGTGTTGGCGGAGGACGTGGGGAGAGTGCAGCGGAGGGCTGTGTGGCCGTTAGCCCGAGGCGTTGATGTACAGCTGGCTCTTGAGGATGTAGTCGATGACGGGCTGAGACAGGTAGTCCACCACGTGGCCGTCCCCATGCTGCAGGGCCAGCCTGGATGAGAAGAGATGGTAATAGGATGGACATCCTTCCCTGAAGCCCAGCAGGAGGACTGGTCTGCCCACTCTCTTTCAGGGGAAGGGTTACCCAACACCCCAGTACCAGCCTTTGCTTAGGTTAAGTAAATGGAATCCCTCTTAGGAAATGCCCTCTTGTGCCCACAATGTCTCCCCCAACCTGGTGACTCCATTTCATCCTGGCTCTGCCAGTTCTTGCAGAGGGACCTTGGGCAAGCGTTTTAAGCCCATCTGTTCTTCAGTTTTCTCTTCCACAAAATGTGGACAATAACTATCTCATTTATCACAAAAATTAAACGATTCATTACAAAACCCACTTAGCACAGCCCAAGCACACAGTAGGCATTTCAATGTTAGCTATTCTTATCTCGTTTCTTTGTGTCTCTCTGCCCCATGGTCTGTGAAAACGATTCTCATTGGGTTTCTTCTGATGACCATTTCCTTTCTTTGCTACAGGAGCCGGATGGAGACAAAGATGCCCTCTCACAAGACGGGGGGCTGTGGCGGGAAGACACCCACAGGTACAAAAGGGCTCCAGGGATGCACCGTGGTTTCTGCAGTTCTGCTCTAGCCTTGGTCTGCTGCTCCCCATTCTCTCCTCATATGATGAGTCAAACGTACCTGCTCTTGGTTGAGCTGACAACAGACATGGGATGGTTGATGTCATCCTTCACCACCATGATGTTGTTCTAGGGGCAGAGCAGAGAGAATAGGTGTCCAGCACCCCCAGCCTCGCAGAAAAGGGCCACATCACAGTTACACCAGCAGGGAGATGGAGAACTCACTTTGTATTTGCGGAGTATTGAGGAGTGATTCATGATTCGGTCTGTGTCAGCTGCGTCCCGGGGCACCACTACAATCCCAAAGTCCCCAACAATCACCTCCATCTGGGGGGGGGGGGGAGAGAGAGAGAGAGAGAGGAAGAATTTGTGAGATCATGACCCCAAGCCCCTACCAAACAACTACTTAGCAGGGTGCAGGTATCATCCATGTGGAACCCCAAGCTTTAGTCCTACACTTGCTTTCTCAGCCCATCAGTCAGCTCCTTCAAGTAACAACCCATAATAGTGTTAGTGAATGAGTGAGAACTTCACCTGGCACACAGAATAGGCGTAATAAATACCCCCTAGACCCATGGTTGGCAAACTGTGGCTCTCAAGCCACATGTGGCTCTTTGGCCCCTTGAGGGTGGCTCTTCCACAAAATACCATGGCCTGGGCGAGTCTATTTTGAAGAAGTAGTATTAGAAGAAGTTTAAGTTTAAAAATTGTGGCTCTCAAAAGAAATTTCCATCATTGTACTGTTGATATTTGGCTCTGTTGACTAATGAGTTTGCCAACCACTGGCTTTTCCGAAGTGTGGTACGTGTACCCCCAGGGGTACGGGAAGAGTTTGGTGGGGATATGTACTGCACTGTGCTTAGCTGAGTCTAATTCTACGTTCTCATGAGTACAAGGGTTACTCAGCGTTACAAAAATTATAGAAGGGGTACACATATGTCAAAGGTTTGGGAAACACTGGAACCAATGAATAAGCGTGGTTCTGCATGCATGAGCATGATCTCTCCAATTTCTGAGGCTCCGGTTGAGTTCATAATGCTGATGAATAGCATGAATGGCACAGAGTCCTACAGCTGTGTGGCAACACAGATCCCATTGCCCAGCAAGAAAAACGCTGCCCGCCCCCCTGGGGGGGCTACTGAGAGGGGCTAGAATGCTCCCTGCTTATCCCAGTCAAAGCTGCTCTGTGCAGAGGAAGTGATAGGAGGAAGATTATAACAGGGTCACTTCTGAGGTCAGCCTTTGATAGGCGCTTGCTGCCATATGAGAAATGAAACCTTTTCATTAAAAAAGTAATAACCTTTAAAATTTATCCTGACTATAGACAACATAGAAGCTTGGAAAACTAAAAAAAGAAAGAAAGAAAGAAAGAAAGAAAGAAAGAAAGAAAGAAAGAAAGAAAGAAAGAAAGAAAGAAAGAAAGAAAACCAGAACCATACCACACAGAAAACCACTAATATAACCATAATAAAATTTTTCCGCTCTACAAATAAATGTATATATCCACTCTACAACTGGATTAAACTGAAAAATAAATCACTTTATCTGCACTTTAATTTAACATTATATTGTGAGCATATTCTTACATCACTAAAATGAAAAGATAAAGCTTTAGCAATCTGTGTACTTTATTGTCAAGCTGTACTATGACATGGCAATGATATATTAAGCCCATCTTGTATAATAGAAAGTGTGCAGTGACCTGCTTTTTGCAATTATACATACTTGGTTGAAGATCTTTACACATAAGCCTTCTACCACATCTCTGATCATTTCTTTAGGATAAGAAGTAAAATAATTAGATGAAAGGCTCTGAACTGGACACCTTTCAAGCTCTTGAGACCTATTACCAAGCTTTCTGGAAACTTGTGCCAATTCTTGTTTTCAAAGAGTCTGACAGTGATGGCACTTAGACGCGATCTAGCCTGGGCGTATTAGTGTTGCTCCTTAGATCTTGCCAATTAAGGATCCCAGGTGGAGGGAGTAGGGAGGGGAGGTTGGCTGCTTCTAAGCAAGGCAGCTCGTTGTGCAAGACCTGGTTTTGGCAGCCAAGGACTCAGGTCTCTTCTTACAGGTCTCTAAACTAGTGACACCGACAGACAGGAAGGAGCACTGTGGGAGGATTTCTGTGCTAGCAGGATTCCACTTCTAAGTCCAGTTCACTGATGATGTTCATGGAGTGCGTGCGTGTGTGCATGTGCGTGCACATGATTGGGTGCACGTGCACATGCGTGCACGGGCGCCTGTGCCCTTGGGTTTCCCATCCACGTTACCCTACTCCTGCCATTGCTGACAACTGGAGCTAGAGCTGAAGCTGGAGCCCTGTCATTGCTGAAATAAAAAGGCGGCTGGAGGTGCCCTGAGAGGGGAGTTGTGAAGAGAAGTCAGAGGTAGGTGTCAAATATCAGGGCCTTGTGGGATCGTGCCATTTGGAAAACCAGAGCATTTTGCAACTTGCCACACTGATTGGTGGTGTTCAGACCCTGCAACCTGGCACGGTTTAAACGGCCCTATAAAACCCAGGAATGTGAGGGAGAGGTGGGGCAGGGAGCTGGAGGTAGACCCAGCTCCTCCTGCCGTAGCTTTTAGAAGGCCGCTCTGGCTTTCACTGCTCCGAAGGTAACCTAAGACTCCGGTTCTCACACTTGGCTGCGCATTAGAATTGCCTCCGGTGTTTTAAATTTTTCCCAAAGCCCAGCTCACACCCAAAAGCAATTAAACCAGAACCTCTGGGAATGGGACCTGGGCATCAACAGTGTTTTAAAATTCCCCAAGTGATTGCAATATTCAACCAAGCTTGAGAACCAGTGGTCTAAATAAATACTGAGTTAAAACTCCAGGGGAATTGGCAGGGTACGGAAAGAGAAGAAAGGAGAAAAGGGAAGGAGACGGGAGGGGAGGGAGGAATGGGAGGTATACAGGGAGATCCTTAAGGGCTTGGCTAGCTAGGTGTTTCAGGATATCTGGTGTAGACTGCATGATGCAGAATATGCCTTCAATTTGATTCTGAGAACTGGATGGGTGTTTGATCTGCCTGAAATAATGGGGCTACTTAAAGAGAACATCCTCATTGAAAGAGTGAAAACAACGGCTCAGAATGGCAGTCGGGACTCCTGGCGGGATGGCCCTCTGGGTGACATTAGTGCATCTGCTGCTTTCCACTCAGGAACTAATGATCCGAGCACCCAATCAATAACAGTGCCAGGTGGCTCAGTGGGTAGCAAGCAGATGGGGATTGTGCTGCTTGAGATGTTTTCCTTTGCCAGAAATAGGTGACAGACTGGCCCCTGGGAATCACAGATGGGCAAGGGAGACGGGGTCTAAAGACAAGACACAGCGTTGCCACATCAAAGAGGCACATCTGCAGGCGTGCAGGCCGGAGGCTGCAGACTTTATCTTCTAGGGCTCGGGCTTGATTTTCAAGCTGGAGGGTGTTTGTGTGGGGGTGTGCTTTGGGGTGAGGGGAGGTGCCAGGTGCTAGAGTGGGGTGAGGTATGCTATTGGTCCTATAGGTAATCATCTCCTTCCTACCCCACCCCAATTCCCTGACCCCCGGGACACCAAACTCTCTTGGTTGTCCTCCTGCCTCTTCATCTGCTCTTCTTTGGTCTCTCATCTTGCTGGTTCTTTCTCGTCTCCCTAACCTTGAACTTGAACCATTGGAGTCACTCATGCCTCAGTCCTTGGATCTCTTTTTTTAAAAATCTGTATTCACACCCTTAATGATTTCATTCTAATTCAAAGCTTTAAAGACACACTGAAGGCTCCCTAATTGGTACCTCCAGCATAGATTTTTCTCCTGAACTCCAGGTTCATGTATCCAGCGGCCTTTTCAACATGCCCATTGGGGTGAGGCATCGCAAATTTGATATGTCCATGAGCCCCTAACCGCTCTGACATCAATCAATCATTATTGCCCCCCCCCCCCCAAGCAAATGTTTTCCTTGTAGCCTTTCATTTCAAAAAATGGAAACTCTTCTTACAATTGCTGAGGCCAAAGCCTTGGCAAGTTCCTTGATTCCTCTTTTGCTCTCACATTCCGCATATGATTTATAAGACAACCCAACTGACTCTGATTCCAAAAGGATCCAAGAACCGGCTCATTTTTCACCATTTTCATCACTTCTGTCCTGGTCCAAGCTTCCTTTGATAGGTTAGATAATGGCTCCCAAAGATATCCAGGTCCTAATCCTTGGAACCCATGATCCCAAAAGCCTTATATAGCAAAAGAAACTCTACAGGTGTGATTAAACTAAGGATCTTGAAATTATCCAGAATAATCTACAGGGAGGGACCTAATTCAATAACAAGTGGCCTTTCAAGTGCGAGGCAGACGGCAAGCAATTTAACACAGAAGAGAGACGATGATGTAAAGGCAGCAGAGAAAGATTTGAAGATGCTATACTGTTGGCCTTGAAAACGAAAGAAGGATCTCTGAGTCAAGCAATGCAACAAATAACTCTAGGAGTTAGCAGAGGCAAGGCAAGAGACTCTCCCGGGAGCTTCTGAGGGGGAATACGGCCCTGCCAACAACTTCGTTTTGTCCAGGTGAAGCCTATTTTGGACTTGTGGCTTGCAGAGTGCATGAGAATAAATGTGTGTGCTGTAAGTCACCAAGCTTGCAGCAGGTAACTAATTCACCTCCATCTTCTCTCACTTGAGTTGCTCTAGTCCAGTGTTCGCCAACCAGAGGTCTGTGAGAACCGAAAGGTTTGGCAACCGCTGCTCTAGTCTCCCTGTTTTTCTCTTGCCTTTTTCAGTCTGTTCCAGGCTGATAATGTTAAAATACAAGCCAAATCACGTTGCTCTTTAGCTCAAAACCCTCCAATTAAATGTCACCTTCTCAGTGATCTTATCTTTTCCTCTGCTAGTCAAAGGCTCCGCAGGGGAGGGATGGTGGGGATGGAGTGAGCAAGTGGAAGGAGTGGACTCTGCTTCCCCAAATTCAGGGAATCCGAGGGAAGAAGGTGGAACTTGTTGAGGCAGGAAGCAGCCGGCCTTGGGATAAACGCAGGGGGCAAATCCCTTGGAAGGAATGTGCAGTTATCATCACCATCCCTCCAGGAGGCTGAATTCCAAGACCTGCCTTGCTGGATTTCAGGGATGCTTGGGGGAGGAGGATGCCCAAAGGTCTTAGCTAAGACCTTTCTGGAACAGAGGGTTGAGCAAGACATATATGGTTTCACTTCTTGGGTCAATCACTAACGAGTGGGAAACATTACACAAATGATTGTTTCAAGGGCATTGCTAGGAAGGATAAGGCCAGGTTGCTATTAAATGGCTAATATCCTGTAGTGACTAATGTCTTACTGGTAACTGTAAAAAAT